GCCGAGGGTTTCGGCCCGCTCCACAAGAAAAGAAGAAACTTATCAAATTACGAGTCACATGCTTACAACATAGATACAGGTGCATAATAATGAATATCCCCCTTTACGTTTATCAAATATCTTGGCAACAACTCAAGGTGATAAAGCTTGGCCTAGTATACATATGTTCTAAATCAATTTCAATACAAATTTCAATTAGTTAAGCTAGTAAAATGAGTCCAAACAATTCAAATATTACATGTTAAAGTCCTAAGTCTACCCGGACATAAATATGCTTTAGCTATGCACGGATTCTCGTCACCTTGTGCGTACGTAGCACCCACAACTAGTAGCACATAACAATTACATCACCTAGGGAGTAGTTTCACTCTCACGAGGTTAGACAGAAGACTTACCTCGCTCCGAAGTTCCATAACCGGCTCCAACGCCTCTCTAACACCTCATACCAATGCCCATCAATACGAAACTAGTCAAAAAAGGTGCAAATCAATCAAAATATACTCCAATGCGTATAATTTACTCCCTCTGTTTCAAATTAGATGAGATACTTTACTTTTTTTCTTTTTTGCAGAAACCAAGAAAGAGAATATAAGAATGTAGTACATGTTTTCTTATGAGAAAGATAAAAATAAGACTTGGAGTGTTGAAGATACAAAAATGGACTCTAAAAGTTTATTACACATTCTTAGGGTAAACAAAATATGTGGCTACTATTGCTACTAAAATAGAATTAAGGAAATAGAGCATCAGTCATAGACTTCTGCAAATACTACACAACTCACATCCTCGCAACATTTATTTATCATAACCAATTTGCAAAATATCCCAGAATAATTACTCCAGCACTATATGTTTTATTTGTTCTCAATCTCTATCAGCTTCTTAGCAAAAGATGGCAAACAGAAAGCTGCTGAATGAACCTAGGAATCAGAAAAGATAATAAAAGGAACACTGAGGGATTAGACATTAAGAATTTCCGTTATAAATTAAGATATACATAGATAGCTTTTACCTCAGAATTATAATATTTTAAGGATCCTATGGATTTTAAATTGGCGCCATCGACATCAATTTGGTTGATTGGATGCTTGAAATCAATTGGGGGTCCCTCAGTAGAGCAGAGGACGAAGCCAATTACCCCACTGAAATTAAAAACAATAATTCTTAGAAAATATTCAGTTTCTTATTCAAGTACAATGTTAGAAAAAATGCTATACCTCATTTTTGCCCGTCGCAGTTGAAAAATAAGTCATACCTGTTAGCATTTCTAAACGTGTGTAGAAAACATCTTTTATGAAAAAGAAAAAAGATATTCCACCCGATTAAACTTGTGTGGTGTAATTTGATGGGGTAAGAAGTTTAAGAAAGAAAGAAAAATTTTTGAAACTTGTAGTATAAACATGTCATGAGAGAGACTGCGAATTAGGATGCACTATATTCAGAAAGAAGGAAGTTCTGGAGTGTTTTTCGTGTGTAGAAAATGGAGCATTGTCTCAGAATTTATTTTATTTTTTGGACAAAATTCGTAAGTGTGATTTTGCTCCGTTCTTTGAGTTCGTTGGTATCCTGCAGTTTGTATTGCCACTGTTGCAGGAAGGTTTATTCCGTTTTATCCTGGGAGGATTTAATCCATTACCTTGGCAACGTGTGAGGGGGTTAAAATTCCTTAAACTTGTGAGCGTTAGAATTTGAGAGAGAGAGACTGCAAATTAGGATGCAGTATATTCAGAAAGAAAGAAGTTCTGGAGTGTTTTTCGTGTGTAGAAAATGGAGCCTTGCCTCAGAATTTATAGGCAATTATCAGAAGAGGTGTCTGGAAAAGGTGCCTTTTCAGAAGAATATGCTGCCTGCCGCGGTCGCGGCAGAACCGCGGTCAGAGAGGCTTTCTGAACCTGCCTGCCGCGGTTCTACCGCGGTCGCGGCAGAACCGCGGCCAGAGGCCCTCTGAACCTTCAGCAAGGTTCTGGCGTATTTTCACCAGTGATTTGGCATTTAATTAATTATTAAATAATTAAATAAATTTTGTCCAAAAATAATCTTATCGATCGATCATTTTCCAAATCCAAATCCAAATCCAAAGCCGAAGCCGAAGCCGAAGCCGAAGCCGAAGCCGAAGCCGAAGCCGAGCGAGCGACGACGACGGCGCGAGGGTTCATTCTCTTCAACTCCTTTTAAGAGCTTTAAGAAGTGTTCTATATATAAGCACACAAATGTGGTTGTCCCTCACCAATGAGGGACAAAGTGCAAGACAAAAGTTCACTTCTTCAAATTTTCAATTTCCCTCCATTTCCAATTCACACTTCTTCTACTTTAAAGCCCAATGGCTTAAAGTCCAACAATCCCCCACACTTCAGCAAGGAAGCTTGTGAGCGTTAGAATTTGAGAGAGAGAGACTGCGAATTAGGATGCAGTATATTCAGAAAGAAAGAAGTTCTGGAGTGTTTTTCCCTCCATTTTATTTCCAAAAACATATATTAAACAAATCCAAAAAATAAATCTTACCGATCGATCATTTGACAAATCCAAATCCAAAGCCAAAGCCAAAGCCAAAGCCGAAGCCGAGCCGAGCGAGCGAGTGAGCGACGGCGCGAGGGTTCATTCTCTTCAATTCCTTTTAAGAGCTTTAAGAAGTGATTCTATATATAAGCACACAAATGTGGTTGTCCCTCACCAATGAGGGACAAAGTGCAAGACAAAAGTTCACTTCTTCAAATTTTCAATTTCCCTCCATTTTATTTCCCTCCATTTCCAATTCACACTTCTTCTACTTTAAAGCCCAATGGCTTAAAGTCCAACAATCCCCCACATGAATGGGAATGGCTGTATCAAGAAAGATCATAGATGAAAGCTATGTGATTTTGCAAGTAAGGATTAATTGCATCTGGATAAGTAGGTTTCCCTTTGAACTTTCCGTAGTGAACATATGTCAGATATACTCGGTCAATTGGTAGATTTGATATCTTTGAACCGTCGAACTTTATTGTATACCTAGACAACCATATGTCACACAATCAACCCTTAACCGTCTTTTAGATCTTATTGTTGTGTTCGTTTCAGCCATGAACACCGCCTGGTCTCATAAGTGCGTAGAGAATTGGCCTTACAGAATTCTCATTGAAGCGGCTTCCACTTCACACTTACATAGGTGATTCCTAAACGTGTAATCCTTTAGATTGACACTATTTGATAACTACTACATCAAACTTAGGTAATCATTAAAGAACGTGTAAAGTTCTATCCTTGTTACTGAACATTGTCTTCATCACGAGAATGGACCAAAGATTTTATTTTGACAATGTTGAACCGGTCAATCACAACTTTGTTGAGCTCCTTGAACCTAGATCTCGGAACATCCAAAATTCTAGGTAGAGTTACCGCCATGTTGACCTGTCTTCGGCCATAGTCCCATTCCCTTAGACAAATCCGAAGCCGAAGCCGAAGCCGAAGCCGAAGCCGAGCGACGACGACGACAGCGCGAGGGTTCATTCTCTTCAACTCCTTTTAAGAGCTTTAAGAAGTGATTCTATATATAAGCACACAAATATGGTTGTCCCTCACCAATGAGGGACAAAGTGCAAGACTAAAGTTCACTTCTTCAAATTTTCAATTTCCCTCCATTTTATTTCCCTCCATTTCCAATTCACACTTCTTCTACTTTAAAGCCCAATGGCTTAAAGTCCAACACATGACGACCAAGCTAAGATCGCATATATATATATATATATTTACTATCAAAAGTTTCGGTAGAGTGGTAAGTACCTGTCCAATCTTAATTTTAAGTGAAACTTCACAGTGCAAATTTATGTGAACTTGTTTGACTGGGCACATAGTTTAAGAAAAAATGAAGACTTTTGGAATTTGTGGTCCAAAATCAAAAAGGGGCCAGAGTATTTGTGTGGTTATAAAAGCTTCTCATTAAGGGTAGAATTGTAAGTTTAAACTAATTTTTTTCCAAATTTAGAAAGGTGTCATTCTTTTCGGAACGAACCAAAAAGGAAATAGGTTCACATAAACTGGAACGGAGGGAGTAGATAGAAAATAATAAACCCTTGTGGTCCGACTCTTCCCTGGACCCACGCATAGCGGAAGTTTAATACATTGGGTGGCCCTTTTTGGATAGAAAATAAAAAAATAAGGGTCCCACACATCATTAGATATTTATCATTTTTCTTATAAATCAATTTCTAATAAACATCAGTGAATAGTAAATCAAGTTCTCTTTAGACTCGCAAATTTTTCCTTTGGTTGATTATAGTTACTTAACGTCTGTAAATTTCATATTTATTCTTTCTGAAGGAGCATTTCGTTTAACGGGTTATCCGTTTATGTTCAGTTCACCTCATTCTGTATGCTATATCTTTTTTCTCTTTAATTTATTAATCGTTATTTGTTCACTTTTGAATAAGTGAAGCTTCAATAATAAAGATGATGAACGTATATAATTTACTGGTGACTGTACAAGAGATTTTAGCTATATATTGAGAATTACAAGGTATTTTCATAAAAAAATTTGTCTTTATCTTGTTTTTTTTCTTGTAAAATTAAGCTCTCTAATTTTCTCGTAAAGGTTTTTGAGATTGCAATAACTCATCCTTACTTTTTTGAAAAATATTTGCATAAATTAGTATGAGATACAAGTGCAATGCACGTGGCCAAAGACTAGTAAAATTAAAAAAAAAAAGAAGCAAAATTAGAAAAGAAAACCAAGGAAATAAATTATTGATGGTTCTTTTTTTTTTTTTAAACAAGAAAATAAAATCTCATATCAGACCGTGCTAAATTCAAGAACAATATCGGTCATCTAAAATTTGATATAGTGCAGTTTTAGATTTTAGTTGAAGTTTGCATTAAAAGACATAAGCGTCTGAACGATCTTATGTCAGATGCGTCTGGGTGGTGTAGTTGGTTATCACGCTAGTCTCACACACTAGAGGTCCCCGGTTCGAACCCGGGCTCAGACATTCTTGTTCCATTTTTTTGTTTTGTTTTGGTATTCTTCTTCATCATTTGTCTAGTGACGTATACAGTATACTCCCTTTGTTATCATCCTCAAATTTTGAATCATTTTACTACTTACTACTCTCCGGAGGTCATACTTGAATTTTCAGAAGCCTCCACGTTCCACTTTCTTTGTTTACTCTACCTTTTCTCCTTTTTCTTATCGTAGCTTTGTGTCCACTGAATTCTAGGGTTTCGCATCATAATTCTTAGCAATGGATTGGGGCAACGTGAGCACACAGGATCTAATTGAGGCTCTACGCGAAGTCGAGTGGTCATCTCCGCCACGTCCGCCCTCTGAATTCTTCTCTCGATTCACTTTCCCTCGATCTTATTCCAAATGGAACAGTCGCCTCAAGTGTAATCTTTACTAGTACGTTTTCCATGCTTTGTTGAAAAAACTGCAAATTTGCTAATGGAAAGTCTTTCTGAATTAATATTTTTTTCCAGTTACAGGACGAATTACTTTATTATGATTGTGGTTATTCTTGGTAAGGGAAAATTGTTGAGTTTTATTCATTTCAGACATGATTTTAGCATAACAGTGTTTTTTTGGAACTGACAAGTACAACTCATGTGTATTTTGTATTGCAGCATTGGGGTTTCTAAGGGGGCCACTTGCAATTGTTGGTGCCCTTTTGACAGCGCTTAGTATTGCTTTTCTAAATGACAGGTATTTCTATTCTTGGATTGTTTTATCTGTGGTGAGGTTTTTGTTTGCCATTAGAGTTTTAGTTTGTCTCTTCAGGAACATCCCATAAAACTGGAACAATATTGAGAAGAAAAAAGAACAGATTTTTTGTTTACATTTCATTCGTCTGTATTTTGCACTCTTGTCTTGGCTTATCTAAATGACAGGTCGAGGATGGGGAAGAATGGGGAGATGGAGGGTTAAATGGTTAGAGTTACCGACGGGAGGGGGTTGTTAATGGTTAAAGGGGGTGGTTTTCTTCACGTGCAAATGTGACAAGTTTATAGAGCCAGCATGGATTAAATGGGCGAGTTGAAGCTTCGTTAGCAAAGAAAGGCAAATATATATGAATAATGGTGAGGGTATTTTTGTCGCCAACTTCTAATAGAGGGCAAAGTTAAGGAAAGTCAATAAGTGAGGAGAACATTTGGACCTTTTTTAGAATCGAAGCTTCGTTAGCAAAGAAAGGCAAATATATATGAATAATGGTGAGGGTATTTTTGTCGCCAACTTCTAATAGAGGGCAAAGTTAAGGAAAGTCAATAAGTGAGGAGAACATTTAGACCTTTTTTAGATAAAGTAATAACCTTGGTACAAATGAAATATTTTCAATTTTTTGTCAACGCATGGCGAGCGGGTCATCTTGAGTTTGAGTTAACACCTTTGTCATTTCTCCCCTTCTTGGTTTTCTTTTATGCTTTTGTGCAGGTTATATCTTTTGACTTGAACTAAACCTGAAGTTCTGCCCTCTGAACACCATTTTGCAAGTTCTCTCCTATTTACTAAAGGGTTAAATATTAGCTTTTCTAGCCTTGAGTTATTTTCTTAGAGAGTTATTTTTCTTTAAAACTGCAGTAGTTTGAATGGCATAGTCTTTTGGTCTTTTGGTCTTTGGTCTACAAGAAAATAGTATCCTCCTGATGCAGGGATGTAGTAGTGAACTAAATGCGTTTTCATTTGTTACCCATTAGCGTATTCTGCACTCTGTATGGAGAGAAAATGTCGGAAGTCATTTCTATTTTGTGAAAGTTTTTCTATGTTTTCCTGGTCAATAGTATTTCTTACGCTTCATATTAGGCTGAACAAGAAGGAAAAGCTTTCATGTCAGGTTGATGTTTCAGTTTTTCTGGTGATGCGTCAATAGTTAGGACAATAACCGATTTCAAATCAGTTGGTTTTATTTTCTGTTGGTTAAGATTTATCTGTTTCTACAGAGATGTTTTATTCAGATATGCATGGGAAACAAAATTTGCTGCTTAAAGATTCTAAGTTTTATAATTGCATTCATACTTTATTCTTGCATCTTTTAATGTTGCTAAGTGTTTTTCCCGCAGTTTTGCAGGTACTTTTAGTGAAAAGGTGACAAGAACTGTCAGGCAGTTTTCACCTCATTTAGCTGCAAAAATGAGGCCTCCACTCACGTGAGTACACATGTACATTTGGGTAATTATAGCACACTGAGTCTGTATCGCTGCTTACATATGTTTGATAATGTTCAGGCCTGTTATTCGAGGGCGGCCATCCGCTAAAAGAGCAATATTCATTTGTGGAAGGCCTCGTTGGGTGTTTGTCTTTGTATTTTCTATAGGTACTGGAAGTGTTTGTTCTCTTATATGTTTATTATCTTCTTTTCTCTTCCGTTTCCTTCTTGTTGAATCTTAGGTAGCTGTAATATGAAATTCTGTTTGATCGCTGTTGCGCAATTATGCAGTGAGTTTCTTCCTCTGGTTTGTTTCCTGTGGCCTCTTAACCGTCTTATGGGCACTTGGTATAGGCCTTCTTGGTAAGTTCTGTCGTTCTAATTGTAAATTTTGTTCAAATTCTATGTATTGATTTAATAAAACTCTCTCTCTCTCTCTCTCTCTCTCTCTCTCTCTCAGCCACTCTTGTTCATGCAAGCTTCAGGACTCCTAATCTGAAGGCTCGTCTCAATACATTTCGTGAAGAATTCCGAGCTGTCTGGCGCAACTATAGTGAGCTGTAGCTTCAATGGAGTTCTGGTTGCTTTACTGTGATTGGCCTTTAGATGTATTGATTCGTTCATTATATTTTTCTCTGTCTTACTGTCTGTAAATTAACATGGTCTAATCAGTCTTGAAATAGTAACAAATACTTGTGGTTTGTCATTTTACACGCTTGCCAGATAAGGTGTATATTTTCCTTTCTTTAGAAAAAAGTAAATTACCGGTTGATCCTGTATTTTTGAATCCAGTTCGAACTGCAAATAATGAAATGTTGTCCTGATAGCAAACTGGATTGATCTATATAGTGTAAGTTCAGATTTAAGCTGCTAAGATCTTATAAACTACAAGGTATTGGTTTTGACTGTTTAACTGAAGCTTTAAGTAGCTGGTGCATATTCTATAGCAGAGACAGTGTCCCTCTCTATTCACTCATGCAATTTCTTATCCTTATTTGAGAAAAATATAAAACAAGAGATGGTATGCCTGTTTCTCGACTTAAGAATGCTCTGCATTGATAGCTTGAGCATTATAAAAGGCTTGGGTTATATAAAGCCAAGAGAAGACTGAATCTAGGGCCAGTAGGAACTGTTATTTGCGGAAAGTTTTATCAGTTGCACCACATGACAGTTTTTGGGGCTTTTAGAAATATTTGGTAGAGAATTACTCCCTGAGCTTGTGACTAGCATGAAATGAAACCACCTATAATCTTGGATGGAAAGAGAAGGACCAAAGGAAAGATAGTTCAATAGTTTTACTGAATTATCTGAACACATGAATAAAATATTCTCATGATCAAGTTCGACAGCTGAGAGACTATAGCACTTGGGTATCCTATATACAGATATAAATTTGATTCGCTTCCTATTGATTTATATTGCAGTTTGATGCAGCATAGCATAGAAACTGATTAAATTGCAGTATTAGCAGTAAACTCATCAAACTAATAGCTCCAGGTTACATATATTTTGCTTATTTTCCTTGAAAGTGACTGCTATTTAGACGTGTGTGATATCTCACGGGTCACGGCTATTTGTATTGAAGTAGCAGCTTTGGAATATTGCCACCATCGACTGTAGACTTTGTTAAATTCTTACCTCTGTGGTGTATTATGTTTGTGCAATTTATATACGTCTGAGAAGCTTTGGAGTTTGGAATATCGACGCGCAGCTAGAGTATATTTCGTAGAATGTGGCTGTTTCTTTTCCAAGTGCATTTGTAATGCCTATAGGTAAGGGTGTACATGGACCGAGTTGGTTCGGTTTTTATCAAAACCAAGCCAAATCAACTATATCAGTTTGGATTGGTTCGGTTTTATCGGGTTTTCGGGTTTTTTGTTACTTACGTATTATTTCAATCATACTTTGTTAAATATTTGATAAGTAAATATCTATTTCGTAAAAATATAAAAATTTGACAAACATATTATCGATTAAAATATTCTTATGGGAGAATTCTATTAGTAACACATAATAGTTATTTTTTTAGGCGTTTGACAATAAATTTTCGTTGATATACTCTTTCAGGTTAACTGAATTTAGTAATTAAACATAAAAGCAATATGATACCTAAATATTAATAACCACTTCACATCGAAAAAGTAATAAGAATTTAATAGATCTTATTAACATATGATATAAATATGGAAGAACAAAGATGCATTTCAGTAACACTTGATAAGAAAGTGATCATACAACACATTATTTAAGTCCAATAAATATGGAGCACTTCATATTCTATTAAAATTTATATCCCGCAAGAGAATCTCAAATTTTCTAGATATTTTTTAAAGAAAATTCTATATAAAATCTTGAAAGTATATATAAAAATTATATATTTATATGTCGGGATAGTTTGAGTTTTTTACTCAATACCAAACCAAATCAAACCAAACCAAATCAAGTCGGATTTTTTAATCGGTTTGGTTTGACTTTTCGGTTTGGTGCGGTTTTTCGGTTCGATTTGTACACCCTGCCTATAGGAAGCACGTCTCTCATAATTCATTAGTAATTCATTAAAGCTTTTCATGTGATTTACTTTAAATTTCAGTGGGCGTGTTTATACAAAAAATTCTATGACATAGCGTCTCCTTGATTGTAGCTATGTTTCAGTTACTACAATTACTAACACACTTGAAAGAGGTACATGTTTATGACAATCTTTGGTTGTCACCAAAAATACCTATAAATAGAAGCACTGGATTTTTTTTTTTTTGGTTTCCCACCCGATGTTTGGTACTTGCATTGGAGCCCGATTATATCCGGATTCGCGCTCGGTAAGACCCCATTTGGGGAACAGCTCTCCTTTTGGGATCTGTGATTTATGTCGAATCGCTCCCTAAACTTCTCCTCTTCCTGCTTAGCAGACCCTAGAGTAATTTTCTGTTAATTTGACGACTCTTATTGTCCATTAATGAAAACAACTACTTTAAAATATTAGATCCATCATCAACAACAACAAATACAATGTTACAAAATATTAGATCCATCAATTGTAAGCAAATACAACGAGAAGCATTTCAAAATTAACGACCAAAAGTGAGTACAAATACAAACTCAGTGACAATTGTCTAATTAAAATTGCATCACATTTTAATGATCAAATGACAATACTGCTCCGGTTTAATAGCATGAAAGGATAGAGCTACCAATGTGCAGCCAATAAATAACAAAAACTTAAAAATTAAAAAATCAGCCAATAAACATTAATTACGTATCATAACATAAAGAACAAGTTATCATTGACACCCCGAAAATATAATAAAGAACAAAACGTCTTTATCATATCCTTTAAAAGATTACACCCCATTAACGAGGATTACTTGAATAATTGACAACAAATTATCATTATCACCTGAAAGAGGATTTGGTAATTTCTTATCACCAAAAGCTTGGTTACACTTAGAAACAGCAAGCCTAGCATCTGCTCCTTGTTGACCTATAGTTCCACCAGATTGAAAAGCTGCTTTTATACTTGAAAAATCCAAACTGAGCAGATTATAATCTTGTAAACAAGAACTTATAGCAGCCTTTACATTTGGATCTTTTGCACTTTGAGAGAGTGATATAGCTTTATTAATTACTGCTCTTACAGTTTTGGACCCCAAATCAATTGTTATTCCCTCAAGATCATGATCAGTTTTTGCTGTTTTAGAACGGTTATCTGATCCCAATACTTTTAAGCAAAAGTTTTCTACAAATACTGCTCTATGACAAAAGTTTGAGACTAAGGGAGTTTGGCTTGTGGCAAGATTTGCAAGTGTAGTAACACATAAAAAGATGAGAAAAATCAGTTTGGCCATTTTCTTTTGATGTGAAAGTGAAGGAGAAAATGGAGTTATATGATGCAATGAACCTTTCATGTCTTTTTATTGTGAAATTTATGAAGAAATTTAAGATTGTGAAGATCTGTCATATTGTGAAAAATCTTCATTAAGATGCATTTTTGGCAAAGTAATCAAGCATTGAAAAACAAAGAAGAATTCTCAGAAAACTTTTGATGTTGTATTTGTCTCTCTGTTGTATTACACTGTGTATATGCCTATATTTATACAAAAGAAGGAATAGAAAGACAAAGACCTCTAACAAACTCTGTACCATAGGACAGCTGTACAATGAGACAAAATTAATATAAACGTTATTATCCTAAATGTGATTCTAGAAGGGATTTTTACATCCCTATGCCACATATGAAATCTTATTACCCTTAATGTTTAAGGTTTGATTTAATTACAAACCCGTATACCAAATTACCAATCCTATACCATACTTAATTAAGGGTCTAATTAATGGGCAGTTTTTACTCCTTAATTAAAGGTATCCATATATCCCACGTTTCTCTATCCCCATAATTCCTAAGATATTCTCAACCGCAAGATATTCAAGCATGTTAATTATTTAGTTCCATATCTTCCAATGGCCGATGTTCACTGAGCCTTGTTAAGAAGTTCGAAGCGAAGAAGGCCTTTAACCCAAAGAGATCTTTACAGTCGACATCCAAGCATTTGATTTAAAGTTCGAAGCAAGATATTCTGTTCTTTCTGTTTCTCCATCTTTTCTTGTTTTTGTTTCTGCACGTCTTAGTTATTAGTAGTTGTATTATGGATCTTGAAACCCTATTTTTTTTTGGGATTTTTACATTCCTATGCCATATAGGAAACCTTTTGTAGTCAACATTTTTTTCCAATATAAATTGTAGTTTAATATAGTAATTTTGTAGATACTCTTAAAAACAATACAGCTCTATACAATACTTAAACTGATTTGTAGTTTATTTGTAGTTTTTTTGAAGAAATTTGTAGGTCAAGAGAAAATTTGGTAGTCAACATTTTTTTTCAACATAGATCGTAGTTTAATTATAGTATAAATGTAGTAATTTTGTAGATACCCTTAAAAACAATACAGCTTTATACAATACTAAAACTGATTTGTAGTTTATTTGTAGTTTTTTTGTAGAAATTTTGTAGATGAATATAAAATTTTGTAGTCAACATTTTTTTTCAACATAGATCGTAGTTTAATTGTAGTATAAATGTACTAATTTTATAGATACCCTTAAAAACAATACTGCTTTATACATACTTAAACTGATTTGTAGATAAATGTAGGAATTTTGTAGATATTAACATAAAATCAGACTTCCTCTTCTCCATTCCTTCTTCTTCTCCAAAAATACAGAGATGAAACCCATTTTTTATAATCAGATTTTTCCCATTCAATTGTAGCATGATTGGGATTTTGAACACGATTGAGTGTTGTTGCTGAGGTATTGTTCTATATTTTATTGTTTTTTTGATTTGTGTATTGAGAAAAAACAAAAAGATGAAGAACAGATTTGATTTCAGTTTGTTGAAGCTTTTAATCTTTTTTTTTTGAATTACGAAAAAAATTCAGGAGAGATCAGATAAAGGACTTGCGTTCAAATTTGAACTGAAGATCGCTAAATCAATTAGGATATTCTTTTCCTGATTTTTAGCGCGCCATATTTGGAAGATTCAGCTACTATTAATTACTAATTAATGAATGGTATAAAAATTGTAGAAAAATAGTGCACAGGGCGGGTAATTTAAATACTATGCACATATTTGGTAATAAGATTTCATATATGGTATAGATAGGAAAAAATCCCTTTCTAGAATATTATGTACTAAATTGCTCTTATTTTCATATCTCTTCCTTGTCCAGATATACACATCATTGTAGGCCCAAAATGTATTGTTGTTGAAAGCTTGTCCCAATAACATAAGAGATATTAAGCAGGTCCATCATTTAATCAACCCAACCTTTAATATATCTGAAAAACCTCT